GTTTTCTTTACCCCAGAAAAGGCTCTTTATATTTAAATACTTTATATTTACATCAAGGGGACCCTCTCTACGGAGGCCGCCATGTTTTTTACATTAGTCCAGACTGGACAAACTAAACACCTTTTGAGTTTTTATGAAAACTGAAGCTACCACAGGTTCTCTTTCATGTTTGGAAGGGGAGGGTGAGGTGAGGGGTGTTCAGCTGCAACAAGCAATTTTAACACTTGCTGTCACAAAGTTCTACACACTGTACCTTTTAAAAAGTATGTTTTATTTTTGCTTGTTAAAAAATGAACACTCTTCACTACCCTCTGGTCTTTAAGGAGGTGGTTCCAACCAGGTGGGCCACCACCGTAAATACTTTGTCTTAATTACTGGAAACTTCCAGTTTTGCAAGCCAAGAGTTGACGTGTGATTTCAGGAATATCGTAAAAGAGGGAGCTGTGTGTTATCACCGAGTGATGATTTAGTGGATAGGAAAGTCAGACTCTGTGTGTGCATGTTTGTTTAGTCAGGTGGGGGGAATTTGCGCTGACCTGAGGCATGGCAGCACTGCAGTGAGCAGACACACACATACACTGCACCTCCCCAATGACCGTGTGGTACGTGATGTAGATTTGACACTTAAACATATAATTTGTTGGCACTTTTTGATACAGACAGTTTTTCCATTTGTCAGAAGACCTAAAAACATTTTAGGAGTGTAAGTACAGATATAACACATGTATCTGTTCCAGTGAAGTGATATAAGAACATTTCACAAGCACAAACCTAATTTGATCCCATGACCCTGATATAATTCCATAGGTATGGGGTGAGTACTTTATTAACAGCGGTTTGTCTATTTGTTTGTTGCTTGGATTTCCAAAAAAACCTGGTGACTAGGCCGAGAAAAAATCCATAATATTTCCGGGTGAATCCAAAGAAAGGGGTGGATCAAGGTTTTGCTCTACTAGGTGTCAACACATATATTTAAAATAAAGTCCCAGCAAGTTTCCATTGTGTGTGTTGTTTGTTAAAACACAATCAATATTTAATATCAAAAAGTCACACAGAAATATTCAAAAACAGATAACAACCCCCTGAATCTCAAACTCTTCATAAATGCAGTGAATGAAGAGGGGTCTTTGATAATATAGGTCATTTTCACACCTTTGTGTGACATACACACGTCCTGTTGTCATCAACTATGTTGGCACCTATGCTTGATATCGATTGATCTGTGTGTGCGTCTGTTAGCATGATGTCAGTTCTGCTGGTCTTTCCATTTGAAAAGAAGAAATTAATGAACCAGTTCATACTGTTATTTTCCGTTTTCACTCTAATATCATTATGGTATTACAACCAGCATAACTATCTTCAAGTACAGTACTCAACACTAAACCAATGCACCAAATGAACGTCCCCATTCAAATATTATATCGTCAGAGGTGAGGTCTACTTCTATTGTTTAATACTGTCTCAACTTCCTGCAAATAGTCTGAAAGTCTGGTCTATCCCAAACCATCCACTGCAAACAATCCAAACCATAGTTCAGTTTGATCCAGACTGAGACCAGATCTCAGGCCTGGACCTAATTCTGGTCTGTTGGTCCAGAGCATGGTCCAAGGCACCATTCACACCTGTTATTTTAGTTCAGACTGAACTGAAAAAGAGTTTGACTTCCCACATTTCTAATGAAAGTACAAGCAGATATGTGTAACTGTGTATTAAAACGAGTCAATGAAATTCTTTCAGGAGGTTACCTGAAAACCGATTTTGAGGCAATATAATACATACAACCTCCTTATGGGTCTGATGTGTGTGATGATGGCCACATGGTGGCAATGATATACCATCATCATCATAACCAATCACAGACCATATCTCCTCACGATACTCGAGTTGCTGCTCACTGTATGTGTTTACGATAAAGGTTATGTGGCCATATTTTCAATAAGCAATACTCTCCTTCATTCATTACTGGGATATTAAGAAATATACTATAGCATCCTTTCTACACTCCAAAAATCCTCCCCATATGGCTATGAAGTTGTTTCTCTGCTCATTTCTGCACATCCTGTAAGCTTTTGAAGGACACCCACTGGAGTGTGACAGGAAGTGATTTTTCTGTATGCATATTTGCATTTGAACAGAACACTTGTGCAGGAGAGCCAAAAAGGTTTTTCAGCACAGTAGGTTCCTATGACTCACTAGTGCAATACATCACCCACTCAGCCCTCATTCATTCAACACTCCTCTTGCTATGCACGGCAAGGGCATCACTATGTGTTGAAAAGTGTTTGGGACACAAGGGCCCAGATTTAAAAGCATTTGCCTTCAACATATGTGATTTTATTCAAAATAAATGCATATGAAGAGTCAACAGCATAAAAATCCTCAGCATAAAATTCACAACAATGTCAACTGCAACAGCAACAATATGCATCACATCCACAACTGATAAACACAATGTTACAGAGCCAACATGACATGACATGTGATTCTGTGTATAGTAGAGCTTCCCTGGCCCCTGGTTCATCACCACATCTGTCTGCTTTCAGCATCAAGCTCAGCTCACGCACCCTGGCTCTATTCATCATCAGATAGTTCTGACTGCACATAGTATCTCTACTCTCTTTTCCGTGCAGTACTTTGCCAGTGTTGAGCTAATCCCTGGTCTTCTTTCCTGTGCCTCTCACAAAGCTGAGCCTACAGACACCAGATGCATCGGACTGCTCTGCAGTTGAAGGAAAGTTTAAGATGATGTCATGGCTTTTATTAACAGGAACTTTCCTCTGCAGCAGCAAATATATTCTTACTTTGCTCCAGCCTGAGTTTAGAATCTGAGTCGGGGTTAACTGCCAAGTAGGTTTACACATACAAGGAATTTTATGTGGTGTGTTTGTGCAATTACTA